AATTCATAGCATGAAGATCATTCTTGCTAAACCAAAAAAGTTATTCATACACACAAATACAAACTTTAGAAACAAAAATTATACAAAACCTATAATCCTTTTTCTTTTTTCCCCCTTTAACTAAACCAAAAAACTTAAACAACTGATAAAATTACATGTACCACATTGTACCAGCATGAGTAAAGTAGCAAGTGTAACAAGACAAGAACCTGGATGATGTAAATGATGGCTTGTATTGTGCGAAAACGCCTAATGTTCTATTCATTCCCAAACTCTTTCTGGCTGAAAGAACACAGAAAGCCGACAGCATGGTTTCTGACCTCGTATCCCTGGCCAAACCCATGTGAACACCAAGTCAGGGCAAACTAATGTATTCCTTATTGTGTCTGGTGTTATCAATATTGAGGAAATAGAGATTGGGCATGTGGAAGTGTTGGAAATCAATGGGATCAGCGGCCTATTGATGAACCACTGTATGAGTAAGCAAATACAGACAGCTGTTAGTAAAATGTTTAGAATTTTTCTTATCGTGCGTGCGATTTTCTTTCTGTTTTGTGTTGTTTTAGTAACTGATTATTATCAAATGAAATAACCCCTTGAGATTTTCGGACAGTTTTTTTCTCATCAAGTTATATCCAAAATTATATGAAAGTATGTTTGATGTTATAACAAGAGCTAGTGGCCAAACAACTAAAAAAACTGACCATTATTTTAACCTTCAAACCTTAAACTACAGTACACTAGTTAATAAAACGTTCCAGCAATTTATCTTTAAAAGATCTATCATTTTAATTTATTCACAAAGTACTCACCTTGCATGTCAAAGCTTTAAGATTAACTTGTACAAAAATTCCATAAGATATATTTTCAACATAAACCACCTTGACAAGTACTGAATAAAATTTGATTGGAAGAATAAATTTTATTATCATTTATCATCAAGAGGTTCACTAACTAACTGCCTGATATGAAAAATACTTCAAAATGATATCCATATCTTCTAAAACACATACACACATCTGTGGCTGGGTTCACAATAAGACTAGAGCATGTATTTATTTGGTCTAAACTTAGAGCCAAAATTTCGACTAACTAAGTTAAGATAAAGCCACAGAAGTCCATTTAAATGAAATAAGTATTGGTCTGAAACATTATGTATGTATCTCCTGTTACAACACATTCACATTACATCATTTAATTGGACTATTTCTGACATATTTTGGGTCAAATTTGACTAAAATTTTGGTCTAAAGTTAAGACCAGTTTGCAGGCTAAAGCTCTTTCATGGAACAGACTCTAGACATCATGTGAAGGAAAAGTAGACAGATATTATCAGAGCTATTAATCACTTGAGACCCTCAGTCTACCTGTCCAGGTATCTAAACACTATCTACCTGTTCATCTTAAACCATTTACAGCATCCTCCTTGTTCTGAACATTTTACTCAGACATATTCCGTACATAACTCAGTATATTCCATGTACTATCAAGGGTTTTCCCAGCGAACCCTCTAGCGGTCATTTGGACTGCAGCCAGCAGCACAGGACGGCCTACATTTTCAAAGACGACTGGACAGCTTATGGATTTTTTGGAAATATGAAGGCTTTTCAAGCATACTTGGACTCCCTGAAATTTTGTAGGAAATTACATGTGGTAATTTTGGACAGCCTGTACCCCCAAACCTTGGAAAAGCCCCGGTAACTATCAATAAAATTCGCACATGATGAATTGATAATTTTCCCTAAAAACACCCCCCTCCCCCCCCCCCCCCACACACCCACCCACCAAAAAAAGTAACCCTTAGTTCTTTAGATAACATATACTTACACAATTCAACTAGGTCTATTAAATGACTATATACAGTCCAAAATTACTCTAACAATCAAGTGAATTTCTTCATGGTCAACTGCTTGCCACCAACTGGTGCTATTCAGGTTGACCATGAACATTGGACTATTTTTTCTAATGCATCTGTATTATTGTCACTTCAGCTGCCTGCATAACCAAATTGAACTTATGAAAAAAGTCCTTACTTCTTACCACTGCACCCTACCCTAATGTTGCTCTTGAAAATTCAGCAAATAAAATGTCACCCTGCTTTTCAAACAAAACCCAGCCCGTTCTTCTACAGAGTTCACTGGGTAAAATGCACGCACTTACATGCTGTTCAATTGATACCAGTATAGTATTAAAAGTGTGCAACACATTTGATCTCGTTAAGAACTCTTAACATGTGGCTAACCATAGTGAACATATCAAATTCAAACCACAGGAGTGAAAATCCTAGATTTTAGAGATTAACGAATTTTTTTGCTCTGCAGTCCTGTTTTTTATTCATGCTTAACCAGTTTTTCAACTTCAGTTTAACTTTTTAATATGCAAATATAACAGAAAAAAAGGCATTAGTTAAGTTGCAAAACTAAAAAATAATGTTCCGGAATGTTCAAATTATTTTGCCTACTGTGTTGAAGAAGGAGAAATTTGAGAACCAATGTAATTGTTAACACTTGAGAACTGGAATCAATAGCCTAAACTAGAAACCGAATGGAATAATTTAGTTTATGTTGTAAAAGCACCATATTAATTAGAATTAGCTCCAACTGAAAACATTCAAGAGTAACAGTTGTAACATTTGAATCTGCAAAATCTACTTTAAACTCAAAATTCCTCCACAAGTCTTCGTCACAAAAAATTTAACTAAAGTTATTTGCCCCTGGCTTCAGAAAAGAAACAAAGCTGATAGCTAGTTTTAAGTAAAGGAGTGCAATTTTAAGTCAGTTTTGACTCTGGATACATCAGTAATATCCAACAAAATTAAATCTGTCTAAATCAATTTATAACCTTTTTTAACTTTTTGTGGAATAGATCCAATATTCTCATTTAACTGAACTCCAATTGATAAATCCTGGATCAAAACAGGCTCAATTTTTGACTGAAGTTCTTTTGTGAAGCCAGTCACAGTCTAAGACTTGGATGGTCATCTGTCACCCTGAAGGGCCTATCACGGCTGTTTATCTGTCCCTGGCATCAAGTAACATGGAGACAAGTCTGTACAATGACATGACAAATGTGGTTCAGTGTTGTTTGTTATTTTGTAACAAGGCACAGCAAAGACTTTGTGCACATCCGAGATTTTTTTTTCAATTTTGTCGCAGGCCTTTATAATTAGCAGTCCTCAAAACATTGACATTTTATTTATTCATGATTAAATCAGTAACAAGAGAACTAAAATTTGCCTGCACTAGTGTCAAGGGCTACTTTTCAAATTATGCCTAAATATTTTTATAGTGTTATCAAGAAAAAATTTATATAAAAGTGCACCTGTTTGCCCTTCAATCCAGTATTTACAAATAATCCTTAAGAATTTTCTCACTTATCTTTCAGATTTATTTTCAATATTATCCAGCCCAGCTTAAGAATACTTGTAAATACAAGCTTTTCATTGGATTCAATCCTCCTAAAAAGCTTAATCACCTAATTCCCATGGATCTTAGTTTACCAAAGACTAGAATATCACAATATTTTTGCATGACCCAAGTTTATTTTGTCCCATCAGTAAGCCTTCCTTCCCAACACTGGCATTCACCCTTATCACAAGCCACTTGAGGTCTCGATTTTCACCAATGACCGCCACTGAATCATACATGTTCCAGGCCTAATCATATAACACAGAAATCAGTGCAGTGTATAATACAACAGAGATTAAGTATCATATGTAATGTTCATTGCATTATGGCTTAAGTCACCATAACGAGGGTACGTAACTTATTGTGACAGATACCAGGGAATTATCCCTCTTATGCATGCAGCCACCCCTAAGTTAGACTCACAATGAATAAACGCCTTTGGATTTTCAACCTGAATTATTCCCCATGTTATTGTGGTGTTTGTATTAAAAGCCAACCTTGAAAGCGCTGACCATCAACACAGTTAACATCCATAGAAAAAGTTAATAGCCAGTCTTTCAGTAAAATAATAACAGTGGCCCAAGGGTGTCAGGGAATTTGACAGTGAGGCAGTGGAATACCTATACATTCCATTATTCAATGACTGGAAGGCAGTCTGTGTGCTTGTCAAATAAAGATGTTATTGAATGATCAGCTAAGCAAGTGACCACCATCTGAGATTTGGGCAAGCTGACCACGGGATAAGGATCTGTGTATTAAATTTAAATGCCAACATTAACAACCACTGAGTTAAGCTAGCAATGAAGTTATACAATTGACATGGATTCAATCAAAAAGTACTTTTTACTCTCTAACAATCTTGTAAAAAAATCATCTGTAAGTTTTATTTTAAGTACTTTGCTATTTCACCCCAAGTTTAAAGTCAGCATGTTTGTGACTCACAGTATTATTTATCATACATCATAATAAAATTTCATGTTAAATATTACCCCCTCCTCCTTTCACAAAACAGAAAGAAACCAAACTTTTAATACAAATGCAAAATATTTTTAAAAGTATTTTAAGCAAGTAATTTTTTAGCTGATGATATTCAAAACATATAAGGCAATCCAGTAAAAACTACTTTCGAGTGCCTTAAAGATCTTTCTTTTTTAACATTCAAACGGGCAGTCACTTTCACAATACAGAGGACATCACAAGACCAAAAATTATAATGAAAAGATATTAAAAACACGCACATGAAAGGAAATTCCTTCGGCGTCGTATTTTACTTGCAAAAGCAAAATACAGGTACAATTACAGCACACAAGATAAGTCCACGAATGTAAATTTGAAACTAGTCCAGCACCTATTCCTCATTGAATTGCAGATGAGTAGCGCCCCGGCATCTAAACGAGTTCTGTACTCGACTTTTTATGTCATAGTTTACACCGACAGTGATTACTGGTGTAAGCCGCACGGTCCCAGCCCCCCAAAAGGATAAAAAATACAACCCCAAGCTTCAGCTCGTCCACGTAATAGCTTAATAAGCTGCAATCGTCCTATTGTGCAATTAAATCTTTTAATTTCTGCAACAAAATATCGTGCACTTACCTTAAACATGATTGAAACGCCGCTCATTCAACCAGTGTTTACATTCGTCCGCTTGCTGCATGCCACCTGTTCGAGTTCACGCTTTTGGTGACGTAGTACACATATTGTACATTTCTAGTGACGTCATTTAGCAACAACGCAACACAAGTTGGAAAGTGAGATCGAAGTGATTTCATTTTGGTAAGTTTTGCATCGTTTTTAGCAACGAGGTTGATGGAATATAAGTCTGCTTAATGTTCAAGAATACTCCCACTTTTCAATGTTAATATGCTTAGCTATGGAGTTAAGGATTACTTAAAAATAGTAGAAAAGCCGTCGACATTTTGAATTAGACGTGTCTTCACTGTGTCCTATTGTATAGTCCATACTATAGTTTTGGGGAAACTGTTACCAGTACACTGTGCATGTGCATCACGTCATCAGCTACATGTAAGTTAGTGTGAACTTGTTTAAAACAAAAAAAAAACGCATTTGTGTGATATGCACATACCAACAACAGCACTGATATATGTCTCTTGTAAAGTTATATTTTCTGTGCCCTTAATTTATATTACCTATGTCTACATTTCTACCACTTTAATATCTTTAAACCCCTCAAATAAAATCTCTCATGTTGTTGTATACTTCTGAAATGTACGGGAAAGTGTTGGGTCAAAATCACTGGCTCATCATACAGAACTAAATTGATGAAATAGATACGCCATAAAACATTGAATTAAGTGCAGGGGGGAATGTAGCAATGGTTGGTGAGTATAAGAAAATTCTCTTTTGAGGTAAATTTTGTATCTTGTTAAAATCACAGTTAAGATTCCTATAGTTACATAAAGTATGCCAAATAATAAATTAAATCTGAAATATATTTGGTCAAATAAAGTAATAAGAAAAGGAAGTATAATGTATCCTATTCTGTATTCCTCACCATTTGTACTGAAAAGTGGAAATCAGGATTTTTGCAATAAATTTTTCATCTGAGTTAAAAGAAGCTAGCTTGCATGAGGGATACTGGTAGCTAAAATAAGACCAGAAGCTCGAGCAATTGACATGTCAAGTACCTGCATTTTGTTTCATTATATCCTTTCAGTGAAAGGGGAAAAGCCACAAGGTTGTTCGTAGTAAGCATGCACTAAAATGTATATATTATATCAGTGTATTAAGTAAATTTTGCAGCTTTATTTTCACTTAGCTGACTTTTTTTCATTATACAATTTTAGATCACATAGAATATGGGTAAAAAGGTAAAGAAGGAAGAGAAGACAGCACCAGATGATGTGGTAAGTTATAATTGCGAAAGCAAGGGAAGTGTGCATTAAAAAGGCTAAAACTATTTTTTAAATATATATATTGGGTACAAATTGTTATTGCCATAATCAGTAAAAATCTAGTGAAGGCATTGCCAATTTTTTTTCCTTTTTAGCCTACTAGCCCTTTAGGCCACTGGGGTCTTAGAACATAGGCCAGTGATTGAAAAAAGTTTCAAAATTCAACTGATTTATTTATTTATTTATTTATTTTTCTTTCAAACATTATTTTATTTTTATTTCAATTTTTTATTTTAATTAAGAATATGCTTTATCATATATAGTCATGGTTTGGTTCATTTCTTATTTGCTTATAATTTGGCCAGAATGGAAATATAATTCTAATGATTGGCTGCATTCATATTGTGTTAGATGGGACACAATTAGATCATTGTGTTTTGTTTCTCCAGTTTGACACATTACTGGTGGAGAGTCGCCAGGCTGCCACTGTGGTGCTGATGTTGGACAGCCCAGAGGAGGAAGTGCAATCCAAGGCCTGTGAAGCCATTTACAAGTTTGTTGACAAATGTGAGTATGAGTGGCAATCTAGACATGTTTTTAAGCTGAAGTACTGGGGTAAGCTCTGATGTAGAGCATTAAGTATGACATTTTTTTTATCTGGGGAATGTTTAAAATTTTAACCAAAAAGAAGATACTTCAGGAAGAGGCTCACACAAAAGTAAAAAAAGTAATTAGCAGTTTTAGACAACTGGAATCTGGTTCAGATCAAAAGATTAAACACTTGTTGACACGTTACCACTTTGTTTGCCAATCCCTTTTAATCAGTGAAAATAAGTGTCTCCTCTGCATTAACCTATGGCCATGGCAAATGGAACAAGAAAAAGATTGTGTGAAGTGTATTTAATGAAAGGTATACTGTTAGATACATAATAAAGTTTTTGCTAAAATTTTGTAGCATTGTGATTTAACAGATTTACCAATTTGTGATATGCTGTAGTACATGTAAATAATTTTTTTTTTCAGGTGATGAGAACAAGAAAGTTCTGATGGATCTTGGGGCTGTGGAGAAGATGCTGAAACTGATGCAGAGTGAAGACAGAATTGTGAGAAGAAATGCACTCATGGCATTTGGTGTTATGTCTGCACATCGTAAGTCTCTCTCTCTCTCTCTCTCTCTCTCTCTCTCTCTCTCTCTCATACACACACACACACACACACAAACACACACAAACACACCAGTGCACACACATATGCATGTAATGTGGTTGCCTCTTCTTGTTAAGATAGTTTTATTCTGGTTACAGTTACTCCCTGTTATTTATATATTAGAATGTTATGATATTTACTTTATTTAAATGTCTTCATTACAGCTGATGTCCGCAAGCTTCTTAGAAAGCAAGAAGAATGTATACCCACAGTTGTTTCACTGCTCAATCCAGAAGGTAAATATTTTTTTCAATAATAATGTATATATGTGTTTATCATGAGTGAGTGTCAAGTCAGCATATTAAGACTCATAACCTGCAGAGTTAAGTTTTTCATATATGTCAAAGAAGGTTTATTATTGAAAGTACAGATATTGAAAAAAAAAGCTAACCTGTCAGTTGAATGTTAAGATGAAAAAATACATGCTGCTGCTTGTTTATGTAGATACAATATCAGTGATCTTAATCCTTACTCTTATGAGAAGAATTAACATTTCAGCAAGATTGAGATTGATAATATCAACATTTTCTACATCTGATTTTCAGAGGACACAGTGTGTCACGAGTTTGCTGCCATGTGCCTGTCCTATTTGTCCAATGACTTCAGCAGCAAGGTGGCCATATTTGAACAGAATGGTCTGGAGCCCCTAATCAGATGTCTCTCAGCCAGTGACCCCGATGTTCAAAAGAATGCTATTGAGTCTATAGCTCACATGTTGCAGGTGAGTGTCCATGTTTTCTGGTCAAATATTACTTATGAAATCAACACTACAGAGTGATTTAAATCTTATTCATGTTCTTTTTTATATAGTTCATCAACTTCACGTTGTAATGCAAATAGGATGTAGTTTTAGGATTTTATAGCAAAGAAAAAATTGAATTACATAATTCATGTTAAAAGTAAAGCATGTGATAAAGCCAAAATCCATTACCAGGTTGTATTCAGTGATTAAAATCAAAATTTGCATGCCAAAATTATATCACAATTACAAATTTAAGTCTTGTTAATCTTCATCTTGGCAAGTTGAAATAAAATTACAGTTACAGCTTTTCATCATCTTCATCATGTCAAACGAAAATGAAATTACAATTACAATTTTTCCTTCAGTTTAATCTTGACAAACCAAAACTGAAACAACAATTGCAAATTTTCCTCAACTTCATCTTGGCATAAAGAAATTTAAAAGTAAGATGATTACTTTTATTTTATATTCACCAGGACTACCAAGCCAGAACAGCCATCAATGAGTTGAATGGCCTCCCCTCCATCATTGACCTGCTCAAGTCTGAATACACTGTGATTCAGGAACTCGCTCTCATCTCACTGGAGAGAGCTGCACAAGATCGTAAGTTGAACTATTATTATTATTATTATCATTTTGATGATAGAACTATATCATGGCGCATCAAAAATTTCAATGTACCTGGCAGTTAATTTCAAATCTCTGGTTACATACAATTTTATTAAAATATTTTTTCATTGGGAATTATGAGTGCAAATTTGAAATTGGAATAAATATATTAAGCTTGCATCTACTTCAAAATGTATTTACTATATTTTAGCGGAGAACAGGGCAACAATGCGTGAAATTGAAGCTCTGGACACACTGATCAAGTTCATAGGCACGCCCGAATACAGCGACTTGCATGTGTACGCTGTTCAAGTGCTGTCGAATTGTCTAGACGATATAGAAAGTATGGAGGTGAGTTGTGGGGCTCAGGGTTGTCCATTCATATTTAATATTGAAAAGCAAGTTTTAGAGAAGTGAAGATATAGGTTTTCCTCTCTTTTTCCTTTACCATAATAAACTTATTTTATTAATTTTTTTATCAATATGTAAAAAAGAGAAATGTTAACAGTTTGTGTGTACGTGTGCGTTAAATTTAAATATGAATCATACATTAATATTTATCATTTTGTAAATGTGAAACCCTTGTGCCTCTAAGTGAAATCTTATGATAGGTTTTACTATGATTTATTCCCCTTTATCAGCAAATCAAGGAAAGCGGAGGGCTTCAGAAGCTGGTTGCTTTTATCACAGATGTTGCTCCCCCTGAAGATGAACCCAAGGCAAAGGGAGGAAAAGGAGAGAAAGGAGGAGGATCTAGGAAAGGAAAAAAGGGAAAAGATGATGATGGTAACATTCAATAACATGCTCTTTTAATAATTTTGTTTGGATTTTTGTTTTTCTGCATTTTTGTACCCAGTGTTAAAATTTTCTTACCAGTTCCCAAAGACCAAAATAGCTTTATTGACTAATTGTCTGTAATTTTCTTCAGAACCCTACTCCATTTTTTTTTTACTTTTCTAAATTTATGAGATGATCATACTTCAAAAAAAAAAAAAAGAAAAAAACATGAAAAAGAAAATAACCAATACAAATACACTTGTCAAAATGTTTGGATTGTTAAGAATTGCAATTTTTCTCTTTTTTCAGATGAAAGTAAGCACAAGGGGAAAGGAGGCAATGAGGGAGACATAGTACCTACTTTACCCGATGTCAAGCAGTTTGCTGCCAAGGCAATTGCAAGAGCAGCAAAGAATGGTATTTTTTTCTTAATTTTATTTTATTCTGGAAGTAAATGAATTTATTGTCACACAAATGGGATATTCTATAAATATAATTAATACATACTTTTATCAGTGTCATAATATTTGCTAAATTTGGTATGATAAAATTTGGAGAATGATCAAAATTTGACAATAAGAAAATGCGACAAAACCATAACCGTTGCCAAAAAATAAAGTGAAACTTTCGTATATACTAACACCAACCCATCTCAGAATTTGGTACATGAAATATAGGAAGATTCTCTCTACTTTTTATTTTTCTCTTCTTATTCCAGCTGAGAACAGGAAAGTTCTTCACGAGCAAGAAGTGGAGAAGATGTTGATCATCTTGCTGGGCCACGAGGAGCCTCACGTCCAAGTTGCAGCCTGTCAAGCTCTGGCTACCATGGCAGAGAATCTTACATGTAGAGATGCCATTAGAGAGTGGGGTAAGAGGATTTTTTTTCTTTTTTGAAAGATTGTCATATTTCACCCAGCACCATCAAATTTCCAAAATGGTAATAATGATAGACACTTTTTGATATGAATTTTATGATGAAATTGAAAAAGTTAACTTTGTGAGTAATTGTTATTTTACCATTTATGATTTAAAACTTTATTTCTGTTTTCTTTTATTATTTAAATTTTATATTGCTTAGTATTGTATTCCCAGATTTTCTGTCCTATGTTTGGGGTACTTCATGTATTAGAAGTATTTGAAATGAAAATGGATATTATTTTCAAATTGTTACTAGGTTGATCCTCTGCATACAATGTCATTTTCTTATGAATGTACCATTTTACATATGGAATAACAATATTTTATAAATAATGGTATTTTTCACTTGACTGTGATTTCAGAGGGAATAGAGCCCCTTGTGAAGCTTCTTAAAAGTGACAATGGAGAAGTGAGGGAAGCTGTCACACTGGCCTTGGCCAATCTTACCACAGCTAACAGTAACAACTGCAAGTAAGTTAATAATGGTGATGATTTATTTCTTAATAAAAATGATTATTCATTTAGAAAAATTGCAGTGTTGGTTGAAGATTTACATGATTATGCTGAAATGATTATTTATTTGTGAATATATGCCCAGTTAGAAGTTTTACATGATTTTGCTGATGTGATTATTTATGCATAAATGTTAAGAACAAAATATACTCTTGCACTGCAGAAAGAGATATGTATATAAATATTTTTTACTACTAAAATGTTATGACTAGTGCTTTTCTGGTATATGTTATTTTTTCCATTCATTCAGTGAGGTGATCAACTTTGGTGGTATAGAGCCCCTGATAGGCATGCTAGGAGACCCTAAGGAGGGGGTGGTGGCCAACGCTGCCGTCGTGCTGACCAACATGTCACTGGACGAGGTCATGAGGGTCAATATACAGGCACAGGGGGTCATCTACGCCCTTATTGACCCTCTGAGGTCGAGGTGGGTATACAGCTGACTTTTTTTCACATTTCATGGTAGTTATTTTATTATGACTGTTAGGGCATAGTACCAAAAGGGGATGCATATGTCATAGGTTTTAAATGGTAACGAAAGTGTGTGAAGTTGCGAGTAAAATTCTTGCCACTAAAATTGAAGATTGATGGTGCATCCTCACATATAGCAAGGAAGGGTTGGTTGAATTTTATTTTATTTTATTTTATTTTATTTATTATTATTTTTTATTTTATTTTTTTGCCTTATTGCTGGAATCACTTCATAAATATTATGTTAGAATATTCCATACTTTTTAACAAGAGTGTTTATCATAATAACCTTATTATGATTCTTTTTCTCCAATGAGAAAAAAACTTTTAGAGATGGTTCCAGTATAGATATTCCTTAAAGCTAGGTAAAAATGAAAACATTTTAAGTAAAACAAATAGTATAATCTCTGGAATCAATTATCTTTACTTCATCTAGCAACCCATCAGTACAGAGTAAAACAGCTCTAGGCGTGGCTGCTTTTGTTTGCGATGCTGACACCAGGGCAGAGTTTCGTAACGCAGGAGGCTTAGAACCACTGGTTGCAATGTTGAACTCTGGGAATGCTGAAGTACGGCGCAGTGCATCATGGGCCATTACAGTATGTGCTGTGGATGAACCAACAGCAATGGAGATTGCTAGATTAGGGTAAGTATGATCATGTGTTATATAGAGCATTAAGTTTGGTTTCAGTATGTAATAGATGCACCACAAGTGTGCAAGGTTAATGTGATGTTCACAAGTGTTAAGTATACATGTATAGCACAGCAGTCTTACTAACAATTGGTTTGTATTTTTTAAAATATGACTTACACCATAATGTTGGATGTCAAGAATAAAAGAGCCATCCATGAAGTAACTCATACTTTTTGTGATAAGTGTAGCAATCTTCTGATAAATTTATACTTTGTCAGTAAAGAAGAATATTCACTGTTGTTTATGATGTATTTATTGGACCGTGTGTGTTTTTTCAGTGGTCTAGACATTCTACAAACTATCCAACAGTCAGGCTCCAGAAAGAACTGCTTTACTGATGTGGCTTTGGACAGGCTTCTAGACAGCAACCTATCAGCAAAATATGCACTGACTGGACTGTTGGGTAATTATAGCACATGCACACACACACACACACTAGTAGACACATGCCAACTCCATAGGCAGAGGGAAGAAGGGTTGTATGATTTCAAGCAAACTACCCTTTTGAATGTGAAAAGGTTCATTCTAAATAAAAAAGAATTATTAAGTTTTATGCTGTTGTCTGTAGTCCTGCACACACACACACACACACACACACACACAAGCACACATACACACACACACACACAAACACGCATGCACCCAACTATCACTTCATTCCTGTATTTGTCTTCTTCAATTAGAATATTTCTCACTGAAAAAACTTGTACAATTTTGATTTCTTGACAATATTTAAGTTTGACAAATTTTCAATCCTCTTGACTTTACAAGATTGAAATGAAGAAAATTCTGCCTTGCAGGCACAGGAAATCTAATCACTGATGGATTCTTTGACCCTGGTCAGCTGCGTCCAGGCACCAAGCTTGGGTCACTGGAGGACTACTGCAAGATGGAGGTGGACCAGAGGAGACCAGTGCTACTCATTAGTTTTAGGACAGAGTATGTATTGGGCACAGGCACATACAGAATACCCATATTAAAAAATCCGTATTTAATGTAATGCATACAAAAATTGTGCTCAATATTGTAAACTGGCCATCATGCTTTTTGAGGAGACATGGATTTACTAGTTGAATTAAAGTATATTGATGCATTTTGTTGAGAAAGTACACAGAACCAATCATTAATTAGAGGCTTAATTTTAGTTATTTATTTTTGTCTATTTTAACATATTCCAGTGGGCCCACCACCCCTATGCCTTCTGATGTGGATGTCAGACAAGATGGCTCCAACAAGGCCGCTCTGGCAGCAAAACAGTCCAAGTCTGTGAAAGACGCCTCTCGTGTGTATGTGTCTCATTTTTTACATCTTTTTAAATATAATGGAAGTGCTTTCCTGGCACCAGAGCAAGTATCAGTATGTAAAAAACCAGTATTAAAAGACAAAATTTGTTTCTTTAGAGTTTGTTTTATCGTTTTCTTGATATCTCTTAATTGATGTGTGCTGTTCATTTAAAAAAAAAAGAAAAGTTGTTATGCTAGTTTATGCACATTTATTTTTCTTATTGCACCAACTTGTCACATTCAGCACAATATGAGATTTGTTCTCTGTAATGTTCTATTTTTGAGCACTTCACTTGGGTCATATTTCATTTCATGCTGTGGTCACGTTTTCACAATTTCCACCACTTTGTTTCTAGTGACTCAGCTAACTTAAAGGCTGATTCGTAAGTAATCTTACAGGACATGATTTAACTATGATATCTTTTATATGCCTGACTCAGCTTTCATTTTGACTAACAGTAATTTTCTTTTTTTGTAACCCTATATGGTAGAGTTAGATCTTCATGGTGTATGGTTCTTATTCATTAACTTGAAAGTTCATTAACTAACAAATTTGATTATTTTTATACTTCCCATTTGTTGGTATGCCTGAGAAAGATTCATAAGTTCTGAAAAACAATTTAGATGGATGTTATAAATTTTCATCTTTTATTTATTAATTTATTTATTTAAAAACATTTTTTTAATTTCTGTAAAATGATGAACTATATAAAAATAACATATCTGAACAAATAATTTGCAGTTTAAGAATAATTTTAGTAATATCTTCATTTTAGGTTTTTCTGACTATATCACTTACAATGTTTCATTTACCAAGAGATTTTAATTTTAGCTGTTATGAAATCTGATATTAACTTTCCTACTGGCATTGTTTTGGTAGTCCAAAAATCATCATTTGTACCGTACTTAAGGAAAGCATTAAGAAAGCTTACAGCCACTTATAGGGGTCATTTACATTGACATGTATTCTGCCTGATGAGACAGGCTGGTCATATACTAACCTGTAGCCTTCATGATTGTTACCCTTGTGTACAAATAATGAACTGTGGATGATATCTGTACCAAGTTGGTGAATAACTTTGCTCAGTATTTGGTTCTTCCTTTCACAACTGTCCGTAATATATTTGCATGTTGCAGGCATTGGTGTATTCTTTGCAGTCTGTAGATAACTCAAGTTTATATATCATTGCAATATTTTATTTCCTGTCAATAATAAACTTAGTATTTAGATATGCATATTTATTAATTCATATAGCATTTTTCATGTATAACATATGGACTTTCTAGTAGTCTGTTTTATATTTGTTTCATTGGAGGAAAATTGGAATTTCTAACAAAATTAGATAGAATGGTGCTGACTTTTAAAAGTTTGAAACTTATAACAGCATGAAAGTGATTATGAATATCTTTGATTATATTAATGCAATATATATTTATAACATATATTTTACTATTTTCTTTGGGTAATTTTTCATTAATAACAATTAACATGTAAGACCAACACATCACCCTGGACCTCTGCCTCAAAGTTTTAGAGCTTTTTTTGAAACTCATCCTCCTGAACCAATATATTATAGATTGGTTGGAGAGCATTTACAGACAAGTTGATTTGGTATCATACAAAATGAATTTTACAATTTACCAAACCCAACTGGACTAGTCAAGATTTTAGTGGTCATCTTGAATTAAGTTTTCATTACCTATCGATTTTATATTTAGAGAAATGGATTGATTAGAGCTGTTTTTAACCTGAGGTATATTTGCCTAAGCTACAAATAGACTGACATCTTGAAAAAACAAAGACTGTATTCACAGTCAGCATTTTCTGTTAAGAAACATCTAAAAAAAAAACATGTACATTGGCAATGTTTATTGGATTCCAAAGTGCTCCATAACTTTGGATGGCATCTTTGTGAAGCTACAAATGGAAACATTGTATTTTTAGAGCACGTACGAAGTCTCAGCGTGATCGTGATGACAAGTCGCGCGAGGAGGAGGCTGTGAACAGAGACGGTGAACAAGGACAGGAAGAGAGCACATTCATTCATCCACCTGACTCAAATTTTGCAAAATACATGGAAGAGGTCCAGGAGAAAGTGCAGCCACTTAATACAACTAAGGAACAAGTGGTGGCACTGGCACAGTAAGGCTGCTTCCACATTTTATCCTTTTTCACATCAGGTGTAAACTGTGAAAAGTTCACATCAGGTGTAACTTAACTGGGAGTCAGTTTAAATCAGTGCTTTCCACCCAAATAGGTTTACATAAAAACTTATTTGTTTGCTCTTTGGCTTTCTGTATAATGAAATATTTTTCCACAAAAATATCAGCTTGTCCTAGATTAAGCCAATGACAATTTTTGGGAAAACTGATAAGCAGAATTTCCGTTTTATTTGTTTGTTTAATTTTATTCTCTTACATAATTTTTATTTGAATTTTGTTTATTGCCAGTAACAAAATGATGTCACATTTTATAGATATGTAGCAGACAAGATGGGAGGAGCCATAGAACGTGGCCAACTAGCCAACTTCAGCTACGAGCTCCCCATCAGCCAAATTAAGTTTGATCTCAAGTCCAATGTCATCCCCATTGGGATGATCAAGACAGGGATTCACTACCACAGGGCCTTGTTGTTCAAGGTGAGAGTTAGTTCACCTACCTGCCTCTGGACCCACATGGAATGGCAAATTTAAATTTTGCTAGTTTGTTCACTTACTGGCCAGAAGAGTTTTAGATGCTTGTTTCATCTCCCAAGGCTCTAGCTGACTCTGTAATGAGTGGGTATACATCACACTTTTATGATTATACCATATAGTCCACCTCTGTCGATAAGCTACCAGCAGATGTAATTTTTTTTTTTTTTTTTTTTTTTTATAGAATATCAAGATATTTATTTTTTCTCCCCAGGCTCTTGCTGACAGTGTGGCTGTACCTTGCACACTACAGAGAGGAGAATACAACAGAGCATGGAATGAAGTGTGGATCACAGATGATGATGGAGCTGTGAGTATCTCTAAATCTTGTCAATGAAAATTGATTTTGACCAAAAATGACATGTTTGTGACCATGATTAAATTTGCAGAACTTTTACAGCTTATAAAGTTGTGATTGAAACTCTTTTTTAAAAAATGTCAGATTTTGATCAAAAGTAAAGAATCAATTTAAGGACACCTTCAATAGAATACACTGTATTGTTATTACTCAATGATTCAGAATCAATTCAAACTAAGTTGTTTAATTTTATTTTTCAAAACAATGTTTTGGTTTCTTATAAAGACAACCTACAAAAGGGAATAAATTTTATGTAACTTAAGAAACTCTTGTTGTGATCAAATAGGAATAAAAAATACCTTAGAATAATATTTTTAGAATAAATCAGTAAGCAATTTGAGAGAAATAACCACAATTGACATCTGATTACAGTTTACGATGGAGCGCCCAAGTTTTTCCCAAAGGTGAATTGTTACTCATTAATTAATTCATTGACAGCATTATTAATTTTATTTATGTCTGCTTTCAGCCTGGTGCGCCCAAGTTTCCCCCAAAAGCATACATTGTTGACTTGATTCACCACCCTGGAGACCTGATGAGGAGTGATTCTGCTGAAGCAGTGCAGTACCAGAGACTCTAGGTCAATTTACAGCAGGAGAAACTACTGGAGAACCCATACAACATCATAATGTTATAAAACTTGCAAATTTACATCAATTTCTGTAACAGAAGAAAGAGGACTTATGAAATATCAGCTTGAAATCGGGGATGGGGAGCAGGGATTGACATTTTCCAAAAGATATAGATGGCTCAAAATAATATCACTTTTTTTTCATTGGCTTTGTTGAACACAGTGGTATTTACAGTCTGAGTCATGCCATAAAATTTTTGCATAAATTTCAGAAACCAAGTGCTTTGTGATGCATAGTGTTTCTGTCCATCTGTGTCTCTGTGATCCGCAGATAAAAAACTCCCTACCTTTATGATGATTTTTTTCAGTGAAGTATTTGTAATGAATATATATTGTATATATGTACATATGTCAGTAAAAACTTGACAGGCATGCGGACAGAAATCGTCTTGACTATTTCTATTGTATTTTTTTTTTATTATAGCAATTTTATTTATTTAGATTTATTTTTTGAGCAGAATGTCATTCACTGATTACCAAGGAAGGTCTATCTATTAAATTGAAATTTATTGTTCATATAAATATCATTGTACATAATTGTGAAATAAAAGATTATAAATACCTTACGCTCTGATTCTTATATAGTGAGGTACAGGGATACCTCTGTGCACCGGCAACAATGCTCCTCGCACCTCTATGTCAATTCAAGTTTCATCGATGGCGTAGCTGGAGATCAAATGGAAACCTTTTACCTTCTCACGGAGAGGGCCAGTTTGGATATACACGTATATATCTCCAGTTACCATCGATAGCCAGGGTGCTGCGTTTCTTTCCCGAGCCACGCCAGGCCACGAACACGGTCTTCTCATGAACGTTGACGTTTGTCACGTCCACTAGACCTTGTTTGACAACCTGGAACGGAGCCTTCCTACATAGATGACTTTCTTTTACTTTCAGTCATTGAGAAAGTGTTTGCTTCAAC